CCCACACCCACACCCACACCCACACCCACACCCACACCCACCCTACAAAGCTGAAGGATGTCAGAATTGAAAGTAACGTTCGAATAAAGCAAGATATATTGATTTTAAAATAAATGACTTTCATGACTTTTACGACTTCAACAGCCATTTTAAGTCAATTAAGTCAAAAAAGTCCAAAGTCAGTCGTTTCCCCCTTGTTAAAAACACTTTTTGTATTAATATATCGTGTTCTTAACGTATTTTGGCGTTAGTTTAAAATGCATTTGCAAAACGTTTTGCCGGTTTTTCTCAGAAAAATTCTCTGTTCAGTAAACACATTGCTAAGTAACGAATATTTTTTTATATAAACTAGTCGTATACTGATCGCGTCTGACGACAGCAGGAAGTTACTTTCCGAGAGAAAAACATAAAACGCTATTTCAAAATGCACTTTTTAGACGATCTTTTTTCATAAACTTACTTTCCTTTCTTCGCTATTTTGTAAATGTAGTTTAAAGCGATTGGCAACTTTCATATTGACAAATCTCTCTACTTCCTCTTTACCACTTTTTTCTCTTCTTTAAAAAATCTTTTGGAAACTTTTTTCTCTTTGTTCAAGAGAAATAAATCTTAATGATTAGTTTTTTGAGAATAAAGAGAAAAAAAAATGTTTAGAAGAAAAGTGAAAAAGAGAAAAAACCAGTAAATATTGTCAGTTATCATCTTAGATTTTTCACCACATTTGTTCTTCGTCGTTTTTATAGTTTATTTCGGAAAGACGTTGCAAAATAGTTTAACTTGAACACTGGCACATTTCCGTAAGTAAATGATATAATAAAATGTGTTCGTAGTTTCAGAAGGCTGTTGTATATCATAATTTCATATTAATCAAAGTTTGGTTAAAATTACTCAACTATTTTTATATAACTCCCCTTAATAGAAAACCCCGTCGGAGCGTTTGATGCGTAGAACGTAATCGAAGTCGCCATAATTTTAACTAATAACTACAAATTATTAAAACAGTTATTAATATTTTTCAGTTAGAACTGTCTGTTTTCCAGAGATTTTCCACCTAAGGAAGACCTAAAATCAGGGATGTCATTTTCCTGTTAAAGTTAAATAAATTTAACTAAATTTTTCATTAGTTAAATTTATTTTAAATTTAACTTATTTCGTTTTTATAAGTTATTAAATTTAAAATTAAATTAAATTATTCTATTTCTTTATAAGCTATCTAGGGGTAGTCTTCATACCTCTTCAAGGCCTATCTAGAAGTAGTCTTCATATCTCTTCAAGGGCTATTTATGGTAGTCCTTATAACTTTCTAAGGACTATCTAAGAGTGATCTCTATAATTTTTCAAGGACTATCTAAGAACAGTCCTTATACTGTTACTGCGGCCTATCTGTGATCATACTTATAATTAATTTTTATGCGAAGTCAGAAATAGATACTTTCACGTTTTGTCGTATTCTTGATATGTGAATTTATTTCAAAATATCTGGAGCACCCTTTACAATTGTCTTGAACTGGGTCTCCTCGTTTTATTCTAAATTTAGTCGAATAATACGAAACTATTAGCTATTCTATCTTGCAATTTGTCTCGACTCTTGGGAACAGTTGTGACACATGAGTGAAGAGCACACCATTTGTACCGTGGGATCTGGAAAAGAATAACGCTCATAAGTCGAGTTCTACTCAACTGATTTAGATATTTTTTTTCTTTATTAAACTGACCTAAAGATGGTCATTCACTTCTGAAAAAATCAAATTTTTAGCAGGTTTAGTTTCTGAGAAATCATAGCGACAATATCAAATACCTGGCTTTCCAACGCCACCTATCGGAAGGAAATCAATTTTTTTATTACATTGCGTTTTTCTAAATTGTTTTTTGTAGCTAGAGTTGTAGAACTCGTCGCAGGCTTTCACATTATATCATTAGTTTTGGCTTTAGACAAAGTTTTACGAATGGAAAACTATTAATAATAGGCGTTAAGACATTCTTCATTTTTGTGTAGAGCGAGATTAAAATCATTGGTTTTCCATTTCAAGAAATTTGATTGAAACAAAGGATGGGAGCGTATAAGAACACAGATCGGCTCATCTGTTTTTTACCGAAGGATACAAATAACATGAAGCAGAATGAGACAGCGATCCTTTTTATGACAAGCCAGCCTATTTGCAAAGTGACTAAGTGGCTACTACCGGAGAATACCACACTATACTTTTACCCAAATCTGAGGCTGTGTTTTGAGAACAAGTTAATGTAAACATGTGTTACTCTGGCTATAAATAGTCTCATTAGAAAGAGCAATACTTTCTGCACAAATTCATAAGCGTGTGGGTATGGATTCAGAGAACAGCTACAGCCATACACCCACACCCACACCCACACCCCACACCTACACACCCACACCCGCACCACACCCACATTTACATCTCCATCCACACGCATACCCACACTCACACCATTGTTAGTTACCGTATCTTCTCTTTGAAGTACTTAAGGATATGCAAAATATTTTTTTTCTAGATTAGAAAAATTCTGGTAAACAGCAAGCATCGAACCTACATCGACTTTTCGTGATACAACTTGCTCATCACCTAATAGATCCTTTTGAATTTTTATGATCAGTATATAAATCGATCACGGCATCAATATGGATACTTGGACAGATAAGATAAACGAACTGATCAAAGACAGAAGACTGACATCACATCAGTGCATAGTCTACACAAATGGCTCCCAGTCAGACAATGACACAGAGAAGTGTGGTTGTCAACGTCTTATTCGTGAGCACAGCTTTGATGGAACAGAACTCCCACAGAAACCGAAGGAAGAAGGATGGACTGTGGAAGAGCATACTAAAAATTTATCTACTCTCATTCATTATTCGACTCCATCCTTTAAAGTAAGCATATTTGATGGTGCTGCATTAGTTTTTTTTGCTTGGATGTACTTAGCTTTTGCGGTGTTCATGTGAAAACCTTCAGGATGTTGATAGTCTTTATCAACTGATGAAGAGCGTTTGTGATAGCCCAAAATTAATCATTAGTATCTGTGGTGACCTAGAATATTTCACGATGAATGAAAATATTGAGAAGGAATTTATGGAAAATTTAGCAGTAGCTGCAACTACACCAGGTAATTTGACCGAAAAAACAATACTAGATTTGAAATAAAATCAGTTTAATAATGAATATTTGATTAGCAACATGGGTTATTACAGCGGGTCTTAACAACGGTGTGGCAAAACTAATAGGAGAAGGTGTTTCACGTTTTCGAGCACTGTCTGGCAAACAAGCAAATGCTATTCTGCTCGGTATAGCTTGGTGGAGTAATCTTTCGATGAAGACACGAAAGATACTTTCAAAAATGCGCGATGAGGTAATTGACCATTTGTTTTTGACTCATTAAAGAAGAAACTTTTATTTGTTACAAGAAATCAAGACTAAGCGAGCAAACGAAACCTACTGATACCCTGTTTTGTTTTCATGATAAACATACTCATGCATTAGAAAAAAATCACACACATTTTCTTCTATTGGATGATGGTAAATATGAATGTAAAATCGATCACAATCAATATCCAAGTTCACATATGACTAGTGGAGATCAAAGAGTCAATCGTGCTATAGGAAGTCAACAACAGAAACAGGGTTGGATTGGCACTATTGGAAAAATGCTTGCTATTGCTAACTCTATTTAATTGTTTTAGATCATTTAAATAACTTAGACCCGACGATATCACCAAGAAAAGAATCAGCTGAAGTTACAAGAAGAACTCGTTATCCAAAAGAGTTGCAACGTTCCGATTTTGTTACATGGGTTTGCAACAAAGAGAACATCATGGAAGAAAACTGTGAGTTTTAAAAGTAACTATTTTATGGGTGCGATATGATACTTTTTAATAGGCTCTGGTATTACTATAGTAGTTGAGGGTGGTCTCAACGTGTGTCTGGCAATTTTAAATGACATTGAATGTGAATGTCCGATTGTTTTTATTCAGGTACCAACTGATTCTTATGAGTATGCATATAACTATTCTTGTTGTGGTGTATAGGGTAGTGGAAAGATTGCCGACGTTATAACAAGTTTAATGGAGTTGACGGCCAAGGATGATTGTGCTCCACCCAGGTCATTCTCGTCAAAATTTGCCTTGAATTTCGATTTACACGCAGACTGTTCATGATTGAATGACATATACTCCATACTGATAAGTAGAATTTGCTACGAAGATTACGCGCCGAGGAATACACCACTAAATAATCAATTACTTTTTCTTTTAGTCAGAAACTGGAAAAAGATTGCTCAGAATCTCACTACAGGCTCCTATAATAAAGAATTTTCTACTTCCATAGTCGTTTGAATGCTACATATATAGGACTTTATAGAGATTAGAGAATCTATGTAGATTAAAGACCATTCATTTGTGACATTTGAATAACGACACCTCTTTGATGAATTTTTACAACACAATCGTAGTTAAATGAGGCAAGTACGCAAAGCTCTTCAGTTCATAACTTGGTTTTACGTTCAATTTTGGATTGGGATTTGTGTTTTCTTTTGACGTTTTGTATCTGAGTCAACATTAATACTATTCTAAAATTCAAATAGAAAATCAAAGATTTTGTTGCGATTCTACAGTCTTTCTATTATCAAAGATCATAACTGAATTGTCAGTCATAAATTTACATGTAAATGATGAGAGACTGCCTCATAAAATAGTTTAGATTTCGAATTTTCTAAAATAAATATGTCCATTTTGACTTTCCATTGGGCTCTGTGATGTAGATCGCCTACTGTGGAAGAAATCGAACATAATTTAACACGATTTCTTATGCATATCCGAAAGGATGATGAACGACAGCAATTAATTGATCAGATTCAGAAGATCATGCGTCCAGATAAGCGTGAATATCTCACAGTATTTGGTATCAACAGTAAGCTCAATTTGAAACAGACTATCTTTCATGCCATTTGCAAGGGTATTGTAATATTTTATAAAATTATTTGATATTCAATTGTAAATCTTTCCATCTATCAGTTCAAGACAAAATTGTCAATTTTGATAAAAGTTCTCAGAATATGCGTTTACTACAGTTGGCAGTCAAATGGGATTGTTTTGAACAAGCAACAGATTTGCTTCAAGAATTGCAATACGCGAATGTGAGTTTAACATGATATAGTTGAGATATGAACTTGTTTTATGTTTAGAAATCGGAATTAAATGCAAAACTGTTCGAGCTAGCTCTCAACGAGGATCGACCAACTTTCATTGATTTTTTTTTACGTATTAACTATGATCCACATGCCACGTTAGGCCTTTCTGAAAAACAAAATGGAAGTAAAGATAGTAAGCCTTCAAATGATCAAACGAATCATACCTGTATTCAAGCAGAAGATATTGACGCTTCTGAGTTATCTGCACAGCAAAATAATAAGAAGAACATATCGTGTAAATGTCCAAAACAAAATAAACTGAACATACAACATCTGAAGTTTGTCTCTAAGCTGTATGAAAATTTGCCAAAGAATGCTAAGGTTAGTATATAAGTACAAAACTTAGCTTCTGGTGAATGATATTTAGGTATGGCACCAAAACTTGAAGTAAAAATGGATTAATTTCTAGAAAAACATAGATTTTTGTTTGTTCTTGTGACTCTATATTAGTTATAGAAAGAGAGTTCAAAGATATTCTGATCGATTTTCTACATATCTTACTACATCCAATCATAGAGATAATTTAAACTGGGGAATAATTCTACTGTTTATATGATCACGAAAATCCTGCAAAGGTCTGAGTTTCATTATCCTATTGTGCACTACGATATACTCTTTGTATGGTAGTCTTATCTAACGAAAGTCGGTGTAGGGAAGTAGAAGTCCATTGATCACTAATATAATTTCCAAGATGATACTAAGAGGGTGTTTTCGAGATTGAATTACCTCATTTTAGTTTGGCCACAACAGAAATGTAGATCAACTAGATGATTTTAATTTCAAACCATTTCATAGTTCATTGATATTTGTCCACTATTCATTTTCGAATCAACTGACATACATTCAATTAGTATTTCAGTTTCAACGGAAGCCAATGATTCGACCTCACTTTAATATTGAATATGATTCTCGCTGAGACACTTGCATGGCTACAAAGTAATACATAGCGATATTTTCTCGCTAATTGTTTGGTATAAGTCAATAATTGAGAGTGATGACTAGAATTAAGTCAAACTGATCGGATACGTACACAAGATCTCTGGTGGGTTCCAGTTACATACTATAGAATACTACAAGTATCTCATAAAATTTTCTAAACAATTAAAATATTTAAATCGAATAAAGTCATTATTTTTCATGCAATAAATTCCATAAATTTCACAAGCGGTTTCTTTTGATGGTAATGAACGCCTTAGGTCTGTAGTCATTATTCAAGCAATTTGTTCGACAGAGAAGTGGCGTGTTTTTAGTATAGCAGATTCAAACTTAACCAAAGGAGAAGAATAGGCAAGTAGCTTTGAAAAGAAAGGATTATTTTTGACACAATATAAGACAATTCTGATAGATAGACAGACTTATTTGATTAGTTTTAAAAACTGTTCCTAAAATTAATATCAACATAGTTCATATACTACAATAACTCTTATATTTCTAGGTGCTGTCGAATCGACCTAAACGTAGTGACTCTGTAATAAACTTTTCATATGAATTAGATGAACTATACTCAAAGTGGATAGGACCATTCATGCCATCACTATTCAGAGAAGAAACTTCCAAAAGCCATTTCAGATTGAAAATTCCCATGTTTATACACGACATAGTATCTAGGATAACTATTGGGAATCCATCTGTAAATCCTATTGATGAACCAATGAATAATGAAGAATCTACGCAGCAGTTCCTGCGAGATCTTATGTTTTGGGCTGTGTTTGCTGAACATATAGATATGGTCAAAGTATTAATCTTACATATTCTACCACGTATTTGCGCAGCACTTACTTGTGCAGCCATCCTGAAGAATCGCGCTCAAAAAGCAACAGAGGGCAGCAAAATCAATTTCTACCAACAGCATGCACTTGACCTAGAAGCTTATGCAACTGATTGCATTAATGCTTGCTATAGAGAGAGTCGACGTGATGCTTGTGAATTGCTGATTCGTGAAGTACCATTATTTGGAAATATAACTTGCATGCAAGTAAGCACTCCGAATTATTTAACGACTTGATAAATAAAAAAGGTATTGCAGGTAGCCATTTCATCGCACTGTTCACAGTTTATCAATACAGACTGCTTTGACCAAGTTCTCGACCTCGTTTTGTTGAACAAGCTGTCAAATACCAATCTATCATTTCCCCGCGGCTTGTTCATCCCAATTTCACTCGTGACTCTTGGATTATTAGCTCCCTACGTTCTTTCTTATCGTCCCTTAGAAAACGAGGATAAGCAAGGTACAATAGAAAATGAAACTTCTACGATGGCATCACCACATCCATCTATCTGTGGTTATTTGAAAGCAAACCAAGTAACTCCAGCGAAAAACTCATCTCAAGCATACACTAAAAAGAATTACAGGTATGAACTTTTAAAAGACTAAGAAACTATAGCATAAATGAACCACTTCATCATGATCCGTATGGTTTACTTATAATTTTAATTATAAAAAAACTCTTTCTATATACCTTCCTAACAGACTTAGGCTTAAAAAGACTGGAATTATTTGAATTTCTGACAGGTATGTAAATGCTTGATTTAATATTCAATGCTCGCTGAGCCGAAAAAACCTATTAGTTTTATAATAGTATTGCGTTGCAGATCGCTATGATTAAAACTCAAGTCGAGGCTCAGTCATCCAATTCTTTCTGAATATTCTTCGTAGTTTCATAAATATGCCTGAAAACAGCCATAGCGCCAAAAGAAAATCTAATGCAATCAAATGCCATCAAAGGACAAGTGGCGTTAAGGCCATTTTTCCGCCCCCAATATTTTTCAAAAAGAATTACAGATTCGGAATCAGCATTCAATTCTGAGTAAAATGAGGTATTTTTTC